AGTTCCTGCGCCCAGTAGCCGCTCTGCTCCCATGGCTCAGGTGCAGTGCCCTCCACCCGCCTCGCCTGCACCTCTAAGGGTTCAGAAGCACCCCACCCGGCCTGCCAGAGGGTGAAGCAGTGAAGAACGGGAGGGAGTGGCTGCCCCTTCTCCAAGGCCGCATCTTGAAAGTGGCCCACGCCACCCTGAGTGTCTTCTCTCAGGGAAAAAGCTTCCATACTGGCGAGCTCTGAATTGAGTCTACATACAGGCAGGCATGCACGTGGGGTCTTCCCAGAAACCGCCAGACGGGCCAGACAACTTTCCGGCAAGGCTTCTTTGAAAGAGTTCCAGCCCAATTCTGTTCCAGGCAGGGACAGACAGGCTGTTGGTGTTCACCGTGAATGTGTGCTGTGGATTTCCAAGGCTTCTGCAGAGCTGGATAGTGAGGATGAGCGTAGGGGAAATCCACACACCCCATAGCCGGTGAGGATGGGGAGAAACTGGACCTTTGTGCACTGTGGGCAGGAATGTGCGACAGCACAGTCACTGTGGAAAAGTGCAGGGTCCTCAGAAAACTAGAAGTACAAGTGCTGCATTAGAGAGAAAACACAGCATTCTCACCTCTGGGTACTCACCCAAAAGACGGCAGGCAGGGACTCAAACAGGTGTCTGCACAGCCACGCTCGCAGCAGCGCTATTCACGACAGACACAACGTGGAATCCACCCAAGTGTCAGTGGGCGAATGAATAGATAAGCAAGATGTGGTCCATGCATACAATGAGATATTATTCAGCCTCAGGAAGGAAGGAAATTCTGGCACATGCCACCACATGGGTGAACCTTGAAGATATTACTCTAAGGCTTCCAGTCACAAAGGACGAATACTGCTGATTTCACTTACGTGAAGTCTGTAGGGCTGCCAATTTCATAAAGAAAGGAGGATGGTGGGAGCCAGGGGCTGCGGGTAGAGGCAAGGGGTGGGTGTTCAGTGGGGACAGTTTCAGCTTCACAAGATGAAGACGGGAGGATGGGTGGTGGGAATGGCTGCCCGAAAGCATGGGCGCATCGACACTGCCGAGCTGTGCACTTGGAAATGGCTAAACTGGGGAAGAAAAACAAACAAACAAAAACACCTCACAACTGGCTGCTCTGTTCTTAGCAAGATTCAGACAGTTTTCTTGGTAAAAACCAAAAATCCTCTCTAAAAATGCAGCAAGCCTTTGGTTAATCGTATACAGCGGGTCCTGAGTCAAAGTTGGTTGTTCAAGTTGTTTTGTTAGAACGTAACGACATGCCTGCGAGAGAACTCACCCTTGTTTAACATCAGTGAGCCTGGGGTACAACTGGTTTTGTCTTTGCTTAAACCTGTAGAACCTATGGTGACGTTGAGGACTCACTGTACTGAGAAAGTTGATTTTCATTATTTCTGCCTGTTCTCTCTTTTATGAAGGACGGCATTTTCAGAACTCCTGGCTTCTCAACTGGGTGAAGATGCAGTGGTGACGGTGGCTGGGCAGAGACAGCTCTGTGTTCCTGGGAGGCCGCTGCACAGAGGCAGGCAGAGTTGCATTCACAGCCAGAGAGGCACGTGGGCCAGGTCTGCGGCTCTGCAGTTTGGCCCCGCCTCTTTGGAAAAGTGGAGCTGGAGATCAGCGCCATGCTTGGCCAGAGTCTGGGTCCTCTGACCCCAGCATGGTTGAAGGGGTCATGTTTACAGAGCAATCTTGCAGGCAAGGCCTCCACTGGGTATGAACTCTGGAGTGAGAGGAGAAGGGGTGTGGGTGGCATGGATATGGGGTGCCCTTGCTCAGCATCTCTCTGATCCTAGACAGCAGAGGCTGCAAAGCTAAGCCCAGGACCCAGGATTCCCGATGGGTCAGAAGTGCTCAGAGAAAAACCTGAGTCCAGTGGAGCTGACCTGGGAGCTGGAGGGAGGTTGGTAGGTTCCCGGGCAGCTGGTGGCTTTGGAAGCTCAGCCCAGTCTGTCCAGCCCCCCACAACTCTGCAAGCAGCTTACATGTGAGGCAAACACCTCTGCCTACACTAGGAGAGCTCCTGGTGTGACCAGGCACTCCTCTGGCCAGGGACTCTGGAGGTCTCCCTGAGACCTGTGAGGGAGGATGCAGTGGAGACTCCTTTGGGTGAGGAAACTGAGAGTGCCCCACCTCTGTGGGCACAGGAAGAGTAGCTGAGATGGAGGGGGGGCTAAGGCCAAGGCTGGGAAGCATAGCCTGCAGGACTGGAGCAGCCCTTGGGAAAGCTGTGTGCTGTCTGCGGTGTCTGGAAGGAACATCCCTGGTAAATGTCTGCTGAGTGTGTGAGTGAGCAGACAAATGGGTGCTTGTGTAGCTGGCAGGTCCCCTTGGGAAGCCAGACACCAGGCCTGAGTCTGTACACTTGGGAGGAGCCAGCCTGTCCCCATGCCCAAGCCAGTCTCAGGCAGTGCCCTGAAAAGAGCCCTTGTTAGTCAGACCTAGAAGGGCCTTTGGCCAGAACCCAAACAGAGAGGTAAGCAAGGTTTCCCTAGTCCAGCTGGAAGCTGAGCCCCCTGAGGCATCCTGGGTCCTAGGCTCCATGGCAGGGCCACAACACAGAGCTCCCCCAGAGCCCCCTGTATGGTAGGCCCCTCCTCAGCGACTCACGAACTCCAGCTCCTGGATGCCGCACAGCCCTGAGGCTAGTCTGAGCAGCACACCCCCCACTTCCCCCTTGGGAAGGACTTCACAGCTGCCCCACACCCACCATGGCAGCACCCCTGGGTTAAAGACACCTTTTAAAACTACAAATGTCCCTTGAGGCAGTTCCCGCAGAGCTCACCCTGTGCTCACACTCATGTGAGCTGCAGTAGGTGCTGGGGTCGGGGTCTGGGGTCTGGGGAGAAGGGGATGCCTGCTGCAGCTGTTAGAACCGTGGGGGAGCGGTGCAGGTAGGGAGAGTTGGGGTGAGGAGTCCTGGCCTACGGTCACACCTGGAGCCTCATTCTCCTACAAACACCTCAGGGGTGACTGACCACAGAGTGACTTACAGTAAAGGACCCTTGCATCAGTGTCACCAGTTCACAACGCACTGAATAGCGGAGTTCCATTTACAAAACACATGCTGTCCATCCACAGTTCCTTTGCCCAGAGCCTTGGGGAACAGGACTTTTGTCTACTGAGGTCACTTCTGTGTCCATGCTGCTCAGCCCAAAAGGTGCTCAACTTAATCCTCAGCAGGAGCAGAATGTAGCACCTTGGTTTGCAAGGGGGAGCCCAAGGGTCAGTGGTCAGCAGCAGAGTCCAGGAATCACGGAGTGAGCCTATTCCCTACCAGCCGGGCTCCCCACCTGAGGCCCGGCCCAGACCAGAGGGCCACAGGGAACCTGTCCCAGGGTCTTTCTCTGTGCCCCTTTCTGAGCACAGTGAATAATTGGGTCCCTTCCCCATCCCACTGTGTCCCAAGGTCAAGGCATGACCTTGAGGAGGGGCATTCCACCAGGAAGGGAAGCCCTGGCCACCCTCCTCCCAGGGCCCTCTCCACCACTTGTCTCTTGGTCCCCCCTGGCAGTACATCCCAGGTGGGGCCCCAAAGAGCTGCAGAGCCTTTCCATGTGGGTGTGGGAGCTGGCGGAGCAGCCTCCTGATGATGTTGGGCTACCTTCCTGCTGTCCTGGGCCTCCTGTAAAACTGGGAGAGCCACTGAGCAGCCGCTGAGACCTGGATGGAGCCCGAGTGAATGCAGAGAGAGGGAATGAGGTGTGCCAGGCACTCTGCTTCTGTCCTCAAACCCTGGACCCCCGCTTCTCCAAAGAGAACAAGACAAGAGCTGGAAGACGCCATTTGCTGCTTGATCGCACTCCTGCTGGTGGGCGGGGTTTCCCAGAGCCGGGGGCACATCCACACGACCTACCGGCCACGAGAGCACAGCCCTTCCCCAGCGAGGGCCGCACAGACGGCGACCAGCACCACACACCTGTCTGACAGGAACGGGAGAAGGGAGAGATGGGCTCGCGGGCAAAGCCAGGCCACTTTTCTCACAAAGGTCTTCTTTTGGAAAAATGTACCTGTTTTTGTAAAACATGCTATTTCTGTTCCCATGTGGCAGGTTTGCTCTCATTATTTTTAAGGGAGTTGAGTGTTCTGGATGGTGCTGCGTAACTCACGCAAACAAAGGTTCTGGGCATGAGGGTCCTCCGTCCACGTCTGAGAGCCGAGGAGTCAGGCTGTGTTTGCCCAAGGGCCCGTAGCGTCAACATGCCCCCAGTCATTTCTCTGAGCCTGTGCTGCCGATCTGAAACACAGGTGACAGCACTCACTTTGTTTGCATTCTATTCTGGTTGATTCTATTTATTTTTTCTCTGGTTTTGAACACACCAAACACAAACACGGCTCCAAAAGTCAGAATGCTTCTGTTTAATGCCTCCCTGGGGGGTTCTGAAGAGCAAGACCACCCTTTATCCTTCCTCCTAGTTCCCAGACCTCGTGACTCAGGTTCCAGGAACATGTTCCTGACAGTGAGCAGTGACAGACTGCAGAATCTGTCGGTAGTGTCCTGCGTGCCAAGCACTCTTGACACGGTGTGCCTCAGAGGGAAGTGGGTCCAGGACCGTGGCCTCCTGCTCTAAGGGAGCCTGGCAGTCTTTCAGGAGCGAGTTCATTGGGGGTGGGGCAGCCTTTCTGGGGCTCATCCCTGAGCACTGGCCACAGAGTTCGGACCCCCTCAGAGGCTGGCGGCAGCAGCCCTGGCCAGCAGTGTGGCTGGCATGTCTCTGTGCGGCACTGTGCTTTGAAGGAGGCAGCTGTGTTCGAAGCAACCAGAGCCCTGAGGCCCCACTTCCCAGCTGGGCTCCAACACTCACGCTACCGTCAGGCTGCGACTGTGGCTGTAACCCGCTGGCTTTGGCACCACCTCCAGGGAGACACTAGGAAGGCCTGATGGGAAAGCAGAGCAGGAGGGAGAGGAGAGGGAGGCGTGGGCGGGAGGGAGGAAAGACAAAGAAAGGGGTGCGGCGGCTGGCAGACACCCGACCAGGGAGGAGAGTGACCTCAGCGCTGGAGAAGCCTCTGCTCAGCCTCAGACGCAGGACGGCCGGGCAGCTCCAGGGCACCAAAGTCCCTCTCTCTCTCCAACATCCTACTGTCCGCGCTCTGCAGGCCACAGGGGAGGACCTGGGGTCTCCTTGACCAGCGGGGTGTCATCCTCAGCACAAACTAGAGCTCTGGGCTCTTGCTGGGACCGTCCCAGGCCACAGCCCAGCTGCCTGGTTTCCTGCTGCTCCACTGGGTGAGTACGTGTGTGCACCTCTGTCCCCAACCCCTATATCACCTGGGCCTTCTGGCACTTTGCCCCGCCAAGAAACCATGTAGTCCTGGGCATAATGAGTCCGTAAGTTTGCCCTCCAGAGTCTAGGTTTCCTCGGATGGCGGTGCCAGAATTGTGCTACCGGGGATGCCGTGCCTGGGCACCAAGGCCCTAAACCTGCTGGGCACCCTGGGGTTCTAGAGACATGCCTGCAAGTCTAGCTGTAACCTGACCAGTTCCACTTTCCGGAATGGAGATCAGGCCCAGCCTGAGCCCAGAGGTGGAGCAGGGAAGGGATATTCAGGGGCTGCCCCCCAGGTCCCTGGCCGGCAGGCACACTGTAGGGTGTCTGGGGACCAGTGGTGTCAGCACATGGCCCTCTCCCTCCCCCCCTAGGTGATGGGAATGCAGACCCTGGCCACCACCCAGGGCAGGGCCCTCTGGGCTCTCCTCCTGGCCACACTCAGCTCTGTGGCTGGCCAGCCGCTAAGAGGAGACTCCATGTGTACAGCCCGACCCCTGGCCAAGTACAGCATCACCTTCACGGGCAAATGGAGCCAGACGGCCTTTCCCAAGCAGTACCCACTCTATCGGCCACCTGCACAGTGGTCTTCCCTGCTGGGTAAGCACAGCCCCAGCCACCTGATAGCGGCACCACACTTCAGCTTGGAGGCCCCCTTATCCAATTCACTTCAGTGCAAGAAATATTTGCTGGGCACCTACTGCATGCTGGTCAGTGATTACCCGGGCTCTGGGGTGGGCAGGAGGCCAGAGTTGTGGGGAGGGCTTCTGAACACTGGTCACATCAGCAAGATGCCTGGGCAGCATGAGGCCACAGGACATCCACATGTAATGGGTGGGGAGGCGGGGTGTGTCCACTCAGGATGGCTGCTCACACGACAAGGGGCCCGCAGGGGCAGCACACAGCTCCGACTACAGCATGTGGCGGGAGAGCCAGTATGCCAGCAATGGGCTGAGGGACTTCGCAGAGCGTGGCGAGGCCTGGGCCCTGATGAAGGAGATCGAGGCAGCTGGGGAGAAGCTACAGAGTGTGCACGAGGTGTTCTCAGCACCTGCCGTGCCCAGCGGCACAGGACAGACCTCCACGGAGTTTGAGGCCCATGCCAGGCACTCGCTCGTGAGTAGCAGATGGCGGGAGGGTGGGCAGAGGCATGGGCCATGCTGGCCACCTTGCTGAGAGCCTGGTCCCCCAGGTGTCCTTTGTGGTCCGGATCGTGCCCAGCCCTGACTGGTTCGTGGGCATCGACAGTTTAAACCTGTGTGACGGGAACCACTGGAGGGAGCAGGTCACCATGGACCTTTATCCTCATGATGCTGGGACAGACAGTGGCTTCACCTTCTCCTCCCCCAACTTCGCAACCATCCCACAGGACACAGTGACCAAGGTGAGGGGACAATGGAAAGGCCACTCAGGGCAGCTCCCAATGCTCAACTTTGTCCCTTGTTTGGATGGCACCCCTTCTCTAGAGTCCCAGTGAGCAGGGGTGAGGCCCTGCTCAGGAGGGAGCTGGCTGTGCTATAGGATGGGGGACACAGCGGTGGCCTGGAGAAGGCTGGTCCCTTTCCCAGGCTGTGGGCCAGGCACCCCAGTGCATATGGAGGCCCAGGCTGGGATGTTTCCACACTGCCCTGCTGGCCTCCACTAGCTCTTGCCTGGGCCACGCACACAGCAGGTGCAGGGAGGCTCCTGGGTTCCCAGCCCATGCTGACATCCCTTTCCCCACCCCCCACAGATAACGTCCTCCTCTCCTAGCCACCCGGCAAACTCCTTCTATTACCCACGGCTGAAGGCCCTGCCCCCCATTGCCAGGGTGACCCTGGTACGTCTCCGGCAGAGCCCCAGAGCCTACGTTCCGCCGGCCATAGACCTGGCAGGCCAGAGCAACGAAATCGTGGACAGCCTCTCCGGTAAGCCCAGGTCCCACCCCCATGTGGCATCGTTCCCTGCCTTCAACAGTTCTAGGGCTAGGCAATCAGGCTCCAGGGAGCTGCCAAGTCCGCCACTGGTCAGTGTGTGCCAAGGCACCTGCTCGGCCTCCACTGCCACGGGCAGCTACCGATCCCCAGCCCCCTGCACCAGGCTCTTACTTCCTGGTCCTAGAATAACGTTGAAAGGGAGTGTCCCTAGAGGGACCATCTGTGAAGTGGCAGTACACCTGATATCCACCAATCTCCTGGAGGCCAAGCCAGTGGCCCACATGTGACCCCACAAGGGGCAATGGTCCAGGGACCAGGTCCTGTCACGTAGCCCCACAGTGTGCCCCTGCCGCAGCCCCAACTTGTCATCGAGATCACCCAATTCTAAACCAGGCTCTTTGGTGTGACATGTCCACCACCAGGCTGGGCCAGGCCACCAGGGTGTCAGGAAGGGAGTCAAACCAGCAAGAGGCCGCTGGTGCTCAGACAGCCTGGGGCCACACGAACCTGTGTCCCTGAGCAACTTCAGAAATGGGTTCGGTGCGAGACCTCGGAGATTCTGGGGACTCAAGCTATACAAGGTGACGTGGGCTCTAGGGATTCGGAGAGTTCTGTAAGGATGGCTAGAACTCTGGGAGCTTTGGCAGTTGGTTGACTCAAACTGTAAACTGTAAACTCTTGCCCAACACTTGTAAGTGACAGTTTTTACACATCTATGGTCCAGAAGTGAGGTGGGAAGGAGGCCCCAGCCTCCCATCAGAAGTGTGCCCACATGGCCTGTGTCACGGCTGACAGAAAGGGCTTCAACAAGTGGATTCCTCTGTGTCCTCCATGGCAAAGGGGATGGTGGGGGTGTTAGTTGAGGGAGCACTGCCCACCAGGGTGGGAACCTGTGTACCAGGTACTAGGCAAGCACGGGGGCTGAGCTCCTGGCACGGTCTGCTCCGAAGCACGACAGTGACTGGGTTTGTAGCAGGAAGGCGAGACCCTCGGCGTGGGCCTTGCTGCAGCGTGTTTCACAACAGGAGTACGCCCCTCGCTCCTCTGGGTGTGTGAACATGGCTGAGAGTCCCCTGGGGCACCCCCACCATGGCATCAGAGTTGGTCTCCAAAGCCCCACAAAGACTTGAGCACACAGCATCAGGCTCTTGGCATTGAAACACTAACTCAAATCATTTTAGTGGTTCCTTAGGAGGTGAGTTTGGTGGCATCTTCCTGTAGCCACCTCCGAGCCATGCCGAGAAAAGCAAGCGTTTCCTCTCCATTCCAAAGTTTGGAGCGGGTCTCATGGATGAACACAATCCAGGGGTCCCCTCTGCCACCAGCTCCTCCTCCACGTGGCTCACAGGTCTCTTCTGTGCTTGCTCCAGTTCCAGAAACGCCACTGGACTGCGAGGTCTCTCTTTGGTCATCCTGGGGGCTGTGCAGAGGTCCATGCGGGAAGCTGGGAGCCAAGACCAGGACACGCTATGTCCGTGTGCAGCCCGCCAACCATGGGGCACCCTGCCCTGAGCTGGAGGAGGAGGTGGAGTGCATTCCTGACAACTGTGTGTGAGCCTAGGCCCCACAGGCCCAGTTGTGGTGCTGGGGCCACACACTGAGCTGGCCAAGCTGGCAGCTTCATCACCTCTGAGCTCCACTGCTGACCGACCCTGCGCACAGACATGCTCACGGGCCACAGGGGATGTCATGAACAGGGGCTTCCTTTCTGCAAGTTGTCCCTTGAGGCACCTCGTCCTGAGGTGCACCCTCATGGAGACTCACAAGTCTGCTCTAAGTCAGGTCCAGTGTATTTATCACTGTGTGGGCCACTGTCCTCAATGCAGAGGATGTGAGCACAGAGCCTGGGAAGGTGCCCTACAGGACAGCCACACACCTCAGGTCCAGGAGCCCCTTGCCCCTTGCGCTGGCTGTGAAATACCTCGGTCCTGGTGCCCAGATGGCCACTGGCACAGGAGCCCTGCACCACACCTGCTGCTTGAAGCGAGGCTGCCACCAGATACCCGCTGCTCCTGGCATCCAAACAGGCCATACCATGGGAGATAAATAAAGGGGGCAGGCTGGGACACCTCACCTGGCACTGTCACATGACTGATCTGTGCACTTAAATAAAGACTATTTCCTGATGTTGGTGGCTATCGTCTCGCATTTCTCGAATGGGCACTGGGCGAGGGCAGAGTGAGCAGACACAGGGTTGCCCACCAGCCTCTGGTGTAGGGTCTTCCCACAGACTTCACGAAAGAGAACCTGGCACATGTCAGAATAGCGTAAAAATGGTGTGCAGACCCACTGCACACACCCAGCGCGCACCTGGCGGCTGCTGATGGGACAAGATCAGGGAGTGTAGATAGCACCCCAGGCTGCAGAGCACCAAGGCCCTGACCTCACAGACGATCCTGGCCCTTGTCTGAGGTCAGGATTCACAACCTCTTGTTTCCAGTATGGACCCTTCAGGGGCTCCTGTGTGAGCGGAGCAGAGGCTGGGCTGGGACCTCAGATGACAGCGGGAGATGGGACATTGTCAAGCCATTCTTCCTGTTGCTTAGGTTCCTACAGAATCAGATCCACCACCCTCCTCTGCCCTGCAGGCCCTGCTTTCTTGTCCATCCTGTGGCAACATGCCTGGAAAGGGTTCCCCAGGTCCTGGTTCCAGCCTCTGCCCTCCACGAAAGTTCCCCCTTCATGTTGTCGAGGGTCCAGTGCCCCACCTGCACCACTGCACCAGGGCCACATGCCTTGCCCATCCTCCTAGCTCTCTCAGAAACAGGGTTTTCAGCTCCCCTACCTGATGCATCAAGTTCCTTTGGCCCCCAGGCTCCCGCCCATCCCCCCACTGGCCGGGCGATGCCCTTCCCTTCCCTGACACGCCTCCCCGCAAACTCAGACTCCTCCATCTGCTACTGATGCTTCTTCGTTGGCCCCATTCCTCTCTGCCCAACAGATTCAGATCCCCAGTGGCTACTTTGACACTTGACCTTAGGAAGGAAGGAATGAAGGCAGTTGCCGGTGACCATTTCACCCATTGGGGGAGGGGGATGGGGGAGGCCCAATGAGTACCTTAAACACGCTGCTGCCTGGACCCGATGCTAAAACAGACTGGTGGCAGGCATTTCACCAGAGGAAGGGACTTTTCTTTGGAATGTTCTGGGCATGTAATCTTGGGCACAGTCCTAGGAGGGCCCAGGAAGAGCCTGCACTCCAGGTGCATGGCCCCTGCTGTCCTGCAAAGCATTGCACTGAGTCTGTCTGCTCATGGGTGCCCCTGCCCCAGGTGTAAGCCTTGAAGGATCCCACTGAGTGGCTTTAGGATACAGGGCACACGCATGATGAGAGCCACACAGCACAGCTCAGGCAAGTGGCAGAAACAGCAAATATTTGCTGAATGAGCAAGGAACTCAATACTCTTCATCTGTTTGCAGGAGCCTGGACAATGAGCACCTAAAATACTAGACAACATGAGATGTATCTCTTTTTAAAGTAAATAATGCACTGATGAAGTGGCAGAGGTGGGGAGTTTCTCCAAGGCCATAACGACAAGCAGCCCCTGGGTAAGTGGTACATGCAGGAGACAGACTCCACTCTGGATGCCCTGCTGACCTGGGGTATTGGAGGCCCTCACCTCGCAGGCACCACCCCCAGTGCAAGAGCATGTGAACAGCTGGTCCTACAAGGGTATAGCCTCTCTTGTACTTGGCTCTATAGAGAAGAAAAAAATAGTCCTTGAAAATTCCTGAATGCAAGCCCATGTTCACACATGGGATCTGAAAGCTCCTAGTTAAAAGTTTTGCTTGAAATTTCTGGGCTGGTGAGACCCCTGGAAGAAATGATCATTAAGTCCTCCCTGGAGACCCCAATGGATTTAGGACTCAAAGATTTCCACCGTGACATGAACTCACAATCAAAACCGACCAACACACAAGGAAATCAGCAGGACACCTCTAAGTCAGAGGAAACAGCAAACTACAAAGTCAGACCCAAGAAGCCACAGGTGCTGCAATCACCATGTGCAGGGTGTGACTGAGCATGCGCTGTATTAGTCAGCCTGAGCACAGACTCCAGAGCCCAGCACAGCAATGGCCACCGGTTCGAATGAGATCACACAGACTACACAATCCAGTCAAATGACACAGGACCACAGACACTGCGGTGGAGACTCCTGTGGACACCCATGTCCATGTGCCCCTCCTTCCTGGAACAAGGGGCAGGTGGGACCTTGGCAGGGGGCTGAAGTGACAAGTGTTATTTGGTGCCAGAACATTTACTGCAGACCCCAAAACACATGTCAACAGGGAGGTGCCTTCACAGACACCACCTGAGCCAACACTCTGCGACACCCGCCCTGGAGAGTACCTAGGACCTCAGCCCAGTTAGAAACAACCTCTGTGGTGCTGGTGATGCTGATGAAGGTGCTGGTGCTGGTGGTGGTGCAGCATGCTCTTTCAGGAGGGTGGCTGGGGTCACCCTCACTGATGAGCCCACCTCTGAGCAGAGCTCTGAATGAGAAGAGGGGAGTCTCTCTCTGGTGATGAGCATCCCAGCAGGGGAACAGCCAGAAGCATAGGCCCTGCTCTGCTGTGGGGACAGCTCGGAGATCTGTGTGACTGGCACAGAGTAGGGGTGGCCAGCAGGAGGCCTGGTCAGATGGGCTATGAGCTTCTCCCCCAGTGAGGTGAGGAGTGGGGTGGGGGTCATGGCAGGGCTGAGTGAGAGTGGCAGCTCCGGAGTATAAAGTATACAGTGTCAGCCTGTCATTCTGAGAGCTGAGTGCAGGGGTGGAGGCAGGGAGAGAGAGCAAGTTAGAGACCAGGGCACTAACTCACAGAAGCTTTCTAGAAGCGAGGCTCCTAGAGGCACGAGGACAGCAGTAGAAGTGAGTGAGTTCTGAGTTCGTGCCGACACAAAGGCCATCCAGACACACGCAGGCTGGTGTCCAACATGACTTCAGAGAAGTCGAAGCCGCCTTGTTCACAGCATCTAGTTCAGGAAGGTTCTGGCCATCCGGGTCATCCCAGGGAGAGTGAGGGGATGAGTGGGGACAGGCCCATTCCGGGGGCTCTGGTGGACTGTGTGGTGCCACCATACACTGAGTTGATGAGGAGCTCCGGGACAGAAGGGGTTGTTCTAGCACCTACACTCACCTGCGGCCTCTCACAAAGGCTGGAAACGTGCACTCGAGGTTCCCGGGGGTGGTGGCTGGGCCTGGCATTGGCAGGACCCAGAGTCAGCATGTTGCAGAGGCAGCGGCAGTGGTCTGCAGGGCCAGTGCTGGAGGAGGGGGGACCTTGGGCATGGTCCGCTGGGCTCAGCAACACCAAGCACATGACTGGGGGCAGGGTTGAGCAGCTGGTGGCACTGGGAGGGGGTGAAGGCAGTGGGTAGGACATTGAGAAGTAATGGGAGGGGCCTCCTGGCAGAGATGGTGGACCGCACACTCCCATCTCACCCCACTTCTGCCTGAATCCCACAGAAGCTACAGAAAAGGCTGTTTGGAGGACACACTCGGATGACTGCTTTGGACATAACGTCTGCCCCAAGGTCCTTTTCCACACACACAGCAGGCCCTCAACTCTGGGTGGGAACCCCGTCTGAGACACTGTCCTGTCCATGAGGCAGAGGTGAACTCTCACTTCCTCCCCCAACTTCCAAAAATAAGCAAACAAAAAAACTGAACTGGGGCTGGAGCAAAGTGGAGCTGGGATGAGGCCCAACTATGCGAGCAGCTGGGAAAGACAGGGCTCCCTGGGGGCTGCGGCTGAGCAGGGGCGGGCAGCAGAGTCCAGAAGACAAGCTGGCACCCCCTTGCTGAGCGGGCCCTCAAGGACAGTGGTGTCCCTCGTTATTGAGGAAGAACAGATTCAGTTCTCTCTGGAGGAAGCTCTTTCAATTCCCAATGTGGGACTCAGGCCTCCCACCCAATCAAAATCAAGCAATTAGTGCAATCCAAAAGTCACTAGTTAAACAAGAAAACAAGCCACTATAATTGATTGAATGTCGGCAGAAAAAAAAACAGCAGATTCAGAGGCCTGAGATAAGCAAGTTGTCAGAAAGGAACAGGCACGGCAGTGGCCAGGCAACAAGAGGTGTCAGGAATAAACGGGCACATTTGGGGAGGAAGACTGTGCATGGACAGGGCTCTCTCACTGCTGCAGGGAGAGTTACGGGGACTTTGCCCAGAGCACGCCCGGAGAGAGGCAAAAAGGCGGGACATTTCAAGAAGATATGGAAGATGACATGAGCAGTGTTAAAATGTTTTAAATTGGGCACTCTGAGGATTTAATAGGGATAATGGAGAGAGAAGGGAGTATTTAAATAGAATACAGTTCCGAAGTCACAGAACTGGCTAAAATAGAAAGGTGTCTTCAGAACCAGAATGCACATGATATCCCACACGGGACAGATAAAGGCCCCACAGCCGTGCATGTGACATGAGACTGCTTAGCACCAACCAGAGAGGAGACCTCTGAAGGGCCCAGAGGAGGGGCAGACCGCCCCCAAAGGAGCATCTAGTGGAAGGACGGCCATTTCCCAGAACCAGCCAAAGGCGTCAGAAGGCTGTCAACACTCTGAACACGTGGAGAGGCTACTGACCCAGACAGAGTTGTGAGCTCAACACTATCTTTCAAGGATGAAGGTCTTTACACGATTTCAGATGAACCAAAACTGAGTTTAATAGCAAGATGACTACCCTGAAGCACCTTTTGAGGATGTGCTTCAGAAAAGAGTACCTCCTCTCTGTCCTCCAGAAAGGCTTGAAGGCGAAGACTGTCCAGTGGAAACAAACACCCTTTATGTTCTTCCATCAAAGGAGCCAAGATTAGGGGCAGATGATGGAGCAGGGAGCACCTGTGTCCACCTGAACAACTGCCTGCTTTATCTGATAGAACTATTTGGGACTCTGGAATCTGTGGAAGTCTTGCAACTTTCCGGGGAAGACTAGGAGGGTCAACATCAGCTCCTAGCACAGCAGCAGCTACCCCGTCCCCCACCATGCCAGGGGGCTGCAGCTGGGCACAAGCCCCTGGAGCATCCCACACACAGCTCGCAGGAACCAAGGTGGGCAAACAGGACCCTGTGTCCCAAGCATTGGGGACCTGTGAGCTGATGTTGGTTGCTGCTCCTAATCACA